TGCTTCCAGTTTTGGGCTCCACAATTCAAAAAGGATGTGGAGAAGCTTGAGAGAGTCCAGAGAAGAGCCACGTGCATGATCAGAGGTCAGGGAAGCAGACCCTACGATGACAGGCTGAGAGCCCTGGGGCTCTTTAGCCTGAAAAAGTGCAGGCTCAGGGGTGATCTGATGGCCACCTACAAGTTTATCAGGGGTGACCACCAGCATCTGGGGGAACGTTTGTTCACCAGAGCGCCCCAAGGGATGACGAGGTCGAATGGTCACAAACTACTTCAAGATCGTTTCAGGCTGGACATAAGGAAGAACTTCTTTACTGTCCGAGCCCCCAAGGTCTGGAACAGCCTGCCACCGGAGGTGGTTCAAGCGCCTTCATTGAACACCTTCAAGGTGAAACTGGATGCTTATCTTGCTGGGATCCTATGACCCCAGCTGACTTCCTGCCCTTTGGGCGGGGGGCTGGACTCGATGATCTTCCGAGGTCCCTTCCAGCCCTGATTTCTATGAAATCTATGAAATGACATGTGTAACTTGCCATCTGGTCCAGGAGGTGAAATCTTCCCTACGTCCCAATGCCCTTGCCTTTGTTGACCAGGTCCTGCTCAATGGTGGTCCCCACTCCCCCATGTCCTTCAGCCCACTGGAATTTGTCGTGGGTCTGGCACCTCATCCAGCTTCATGGCACTCCCCACTCCACCACCTGAGCCAACTGAAGGACACCAGACCAGTCTGCTTTTCCATTGTACAATGCCATCACATCTACACGTTCATGCACTGCACTGTCCATCATGCCACCCTCACGTCCTGCCCAGACACCAAGTGGTGGGACCTGCTCAGTGAGGGCATGGCTGGGGCACCCTAGTGGCTGAGTCTGTACTCCACCCTCATCCCATGAGCCAGTGGGGACCTTATCTGGTGTCTCCTCCATGGATCCATCACCATGGGCGTGTATGTGGCGAGCTTAATGGACACCCCAGTCTCCTGCCCCTTCTGCAGGCTGAGGGAGACCCTGGTGCACATGACCCTCATGCCTCAGGCTGCAGTCCCTCCATCTCCAGAGCCACCTCTTGAGGTTCTAGTAGAATTTAACCCCCCACCTTTTTTTGTTCCCCTCATTTGCGGCCCCACCAAGTCCTGGGACCTCTTGGTCAACCTCCTCCTGGCCCTGGCCAAGTGGGTCCTGTATTTGACCAGGAAGGAGGCTCTGGCCAGGACGGTGCCCGGAGACTGTGGGGCCCCTTTCCTTTCACTTGTCTATGCATGTCTCCAGGCAGGGCACCAGTTGTTGGCCTCCACCAGCTCCTTGTATGCTTTTGAGGACTGCTGCATGTGACCCGGGGGGCTCTGCTTGCTGTCTCCTCAGGCACACTTATTTTCACATTTTGACCCACATGATACCACCTATCCTTTTTTTGTTGTTGCCATTTTTGTCTCAAGAATTCTGTTGTATATTTCAGCTATTGGCCCCACACATTAGGGGCTATTAGTTAGCCAGGTGGGCCTTAGAGCCCATGATACTTGAAGGATAAAAATAGAGAGGAGCTTCTGGGGCCCAGTCAATTGGTACCCAGGGACACTACCCCTTGTGCCAGCTGGACTGCTGAAGCATCCCTAAGAGTTCCCCGCACCCTCTACCCACTGCAGCAGTCTGACAGTGGGGGCTGCTGCCTGGCTGTGACCTGCTGTGCACCTGCTAGACCCGGATGGGGACTGCACAGCCAGTAGAGGCATCTGCCTCTCTGGGCCAGCTGCCAGTGCACTGTGGTTGCAGGGTTGGCCTCTGTGCAGCACTACTGTCACATGTGCCCCCTGCCCAGTCACCTGGGCGGCTATCACCTGGAAGATGTTCTGGGTGTGGTGGCCTGCTTTGAACTGTCAAAGCACGTCCTCCTGGTATTTGGCCAGGAGGTCAGCCACAGTCTGCTGGGTCTAAGGTACCAGCTCTGAGCAGGCAGGGTCCTGCCACTGACCTCCCTAGCAGGAATTCTGGTGTTCCCTATTGGAAAACTAAAAAATTCCTGATTAAAAAAAAAAAAAAAAAATCCCAAAGTCACTCTGAAAAGTACCCCCAAATCCATGTTTCTCCACAAGTAAAACAGAAGACCACTATAAAAGAGAGAGGGAGACAGAGACAGTGAGCAGTTGGACAATGTTTTATTGATATATCTACAGTGTTAAAGCACGTCTCATCATAATAATGTGAACTTTATATATGTTTCATGAACTCATGAATACATGAATATATATTTTGCTGCTTTCCCACAGGGGCTACAGCCCCCCAACAGGGGGTTCGGCCCCCCAACAGGGGACAAATGGACCCTGAAGGGATACCTCCCCCCTGCAATGCCCACATGCCCCACCCCAGCCCCCCAATAGCTGCTCCACCTCCCACTTTCACCCCCAGGCTCCCATGGATGCCCCCCTGCAACCCCAGGCACCTTCACTTTAAAAGAAGAAAAAAAGGGGAAAAAAAGAAAAAAAAAACAGAAAAAAAACCCTTTACTTATCCTAGAAACATGGGGGGGGTTGGGTCCAGGGCCTCCTAGCAGAGCCCCTCCCTGGGCAGCATAGGACAGTAGGAGGAAGCAGGGCCTGGGCTGGGGCTGCTGGGGCTGTCCCTCTGTACCGCACTGTGTGGGTGAGGCTCTAGAAAGCCAGATGGCAGCTGAACTGCCATTAAGTGCTGGGGTTTTTTTTATTTAGTTTTTTAAAACTATGGGGTGGGTGGGCAGGGATTGAGGGGCTTTGAGGCATGGGTGGAAGGGGCTGGGCAGGGCAGTGTTTGGAGGGGTTGGGGGGCTTGCAGGAGGAGGGGCCAGGCAGAAAATGAGGAGTGGCCAGGCAGGGAAGCGATTGGGGGGTGGGGGGGGCTGGCAGGTGGTGGAGTTGGGCAGATCAGGGGGATGGGGGAGTGGGCAGGTCTGGTGGGGGGTCCCCCCTATGTTCCCCCCCTCTCCTCCAGCCCCCCGACCCCTTACTCACCAGCAGTGGAGTCCTGGGGTTGAATACAGCGTGTTTCAGCACCATGGTGAGAGGCCAACCACAGATATGCTCTGGCAGCCAGAACGTCTCTGTGGAGGACCCAGCCTCCGGTTACCTCAGGACATGGTCCAGGACTGAGCCCTGCTCCACTTTTTTAAACTTTGATTTGTTTAGACCCCGTTATTTCCAGGGGTCTAATTTTCTCCCTGCACTGCAAGTTTGCAGCGCGGGGAACATTTTTTCATTCCTACACGTGCCTGTTGCCCCATCTCAAAGGAGTTTGAGACGGGGCAAGAGGCATGTGTGCACTCATCTGGGCGTGCCCTATGAGTGTTCAAACAGCCATGCCAGCGGCTCTGCTAAGACACTGGCAAATTCTTTCAGCACCCTTCGATGAAGTTAATCTGGGCCCACTGATTTGAACACATCCAGTCCCTCCAAGCGCCCCTTCACTCAGTGTGCGCTAACAGTTGGTGGGCTGGTGTGCCTCCTGTGTCTATCTATGATCCGGTTGAGAGATTTGTCTGGGTCTGTATCTGGGAACACAGATGCAAGGAACTCATTGAAGAGCTCAGCTTTGTCACCCATCTCTGTCACAAATTGCCCTAGTTTGTCCTGCAGGGGTCCTATGCTACCCTGTGCCTTCCTTTTGCTCCCTGTATACTTGAATAAGGACTTTTTGTTGTCCTTAATATTTATTCTGAGCCTAAGTTCTAATCCTGCTTTGGCCTTCGTAACTGATCCCATAGACTTGGGTCCCCAGAATTTATGCATTTTACCTTTTTTTGAAATGGCCACGAGTTTTAGCATAGGTACCCAATAACGCACTTTTTAGCAACACTTTTGTGCCTACTTATATACAGTATATACATGATATTAGTCCAAATCCAAAGGTTCATCATTTACCACGTAGTTCATTGGGCTGTGCTCCAGAAGAGTCAACAATATTTCAAGCTATGGTGACCTCACAGCTGAGCACTGCACAGTATGTGTGTGGTATCCTCCAAAAATTTGCATACAGATGAGGTGCAGGGTAATATGGTTTGACTCCACCTCATGGAGGGCATGCCCATACTAATCGCATGTGACAGGGTGAGAGAGGGGCAACAGAGAGAATTTTGTTGAATTGTTTGGGGGCATGTTTGATGATGTTTGCCAATCATTCAGGGCTGGAAGAGAAATAGCAATAATTGGAAATGGAAAAGAAAGGTGCAGTGCAACTGTGGGAGTAAAGAGGACATTGAAATATATGCAATATAATGGCTTATAATAACTTTAAAAAGAGTCAGTGCTGAGGGGGGCTGCATTAATGGATACTACCATAAATCTTATTCAGATGGGCAGCATAAAGTCCAAGTATGATTTTTTTTTTTATTGCTTCTCAGGCAGGGGTGATACCACGACCAACAGGTTTTTCCCAAGAGTGAGGCCTGCCTATTCCACTTCAGGCAGGCTGACCCTTGCATGTTTCCAAAATGGGGGAAACTCGGCTGCACAGTTTTGTGGTAATGGGGTACTGTATTTATGCTTTTCCCCTGGCTTGCTGCTTCTGCCTTTTGGCTAGGAGCAAACATGACTAGGAGGCATCTGAACTCAAATGCCTTTCAGGTTGGGGCAAGCACATAGGATGCGTTCCAAAGGATTTGGGGAATATCTGAAGTCCAAGACTGATAGGTAGGACCTGGTTTAAATCTTGGGTCCAGCTCATCATGGTCAAATCATAGTAGGAACTGCCATTTTTTCAGTGTCCTCCCTACCCCCTCCTTACCCCCTCTCCCTGGTTGGCTGAGGGAGAAGGTTTAGGATCATCTACTTGGATGAGCCTAGCCCCCAGTGCCAGGCTGTGGTTAGGAATCAGGAATGTCCAGCCGAGGGGTGGGGAATAAAGGGTTGCTAGATGGGTGTGGGTGCTGGATTGTGGATGACATTGCTTGTATGTGGGTGACCACTGCCCCTCAGACTCACCCACCACTATCCCTGCCTCTGGCTTTGCTCATATGCGGGGGGATCACTGCCTTTAGCCTTGCCTGCCACTGCTCCTGCCTCTGCCCCTAGCTCTGCTCATACATGGGGGTGCTGCTGCCCCTCACCCAAGCCTACCACTGTCCCCACCTCCACTCTGCATGCAGGAGCCCTGCTGGTGCAGCACCGAGAACTGGCCACCTGGTCCTGCCCAATAATGCATTGCCACTGCTCCCACTATTACAATGAAATGCCATGGATATGACTGCTTGCTGGGGAACTCCCCAGCAAGTGGCCATTTAGTGGCATTTTGTTGCAAATTTAATTTTTCATGAAAATCACTTAATTTTGTGACTTTTTTCACAAAAAATGCAAAATCATAATTTAAACCAGACCCTACTGATAGGTCTGGGAGGGAAGAGACTTGCATGGTTGTAGATCCACACAGATTTCAAAGTTTGAGTTCAGCTCAGCCAATTTGGAAATTGGACCTAATTCTGCCTTAAGCCAAGAACATTTTTTTAAAAAGGTAGGTTCCCATCAGTATGCTAGCCCTATATGGGCCATATATTTTATAGTCAGGCTGCTTTTTAATCAACTTCATAGCCAGTTTCCATTGCTGCACACGTACTGCTCTCAGCAGCAGTTTAATGATAGACAATACAGTTAATTAGGTTTCCTTGTATGCAGTTATAAGACACAGGACTTTTTTCCCCATGCTGACAGGAAGAAAAATCTCATTCGTATTTGAGTAAATACGGTAACTGCCCTCTGGATATTTGAAGACAGTTGTCAAATCCCCCCTTAGTTTTCCCTTCTAAATAAAGTAGTACAATAATGAAATAATATATTTAGTCACATACCACATACATCTTTGTCCTCAAAATTAGGCATCCAACAATGCAGTGCCAATTTTCAGTGGGGAAGTGATTTTCTGCCCAGGATAGAAATATGGAGATGATCTAAGATGGTTGCTTCCTCCTACTTGGACAGACTACAAAGTTACAAGCCAGGCCACCTTTCTGAGAAATGAGCCTGTCACCAGCACCTCTTGACAGGCAGCTATAGACATGAGCAGTACTCATAATTATAGAACTGAAAATCCTCTCATGAACTTCCACCTCTGGAACCACATGCCCATTCTATGCTATATTATATTATGTAAATGCAAATAATTTCAGCTGAATATGTACAGTATTACAGTAACACCAAATGTACTCCACATTCTCAGAGGAATTCCTTACTGGAAAGCTGGTTAAAATTTTTTGAAAAACACATTTCAGATAAATTAAAAGCCAAAAACTTCTGACAAGATAAAACCTAGATGTAATATGTCACATCTTTTTTATTGTCCTAAGAGCTTTACTGACGTGTAGCCAAGCTATCAATATATTATTTCTGGCAGTCATATATTTAATTCCATCAGACTAATAAGAAAGCAAAAGAAACATGATTATTTGCAAAACAGGTACATTTGCAAAGTTTGGGGCCATTCCCATTAAAATCTAAATTGGTTATCAGAAATCTTAACCAACATTTAGAAATATTCTCCAAAATATGAAAACAAGTTCTTACATAATTTTACAGTAAGCATATTGCCTAAATCCTAAATTAAGTTACACACATATAAAAGTATCAAGACAGTACACATCATGCTACCTTTGTCAGTGACTGCATAGATTGAGTCAAGTTCATTCTAAGTAAGTGTTATCTCAAATGACAACATGCCATGCTCTAATGTATGTATTACTTTGTAGCTCCAAACAGTTTTGAGTCTTTGAGATGTAGAGACAAGAAAGGAAAATAGCAACTAAATGCAGAGCACAGATGTTTTGTTTCAACCCTTGTTTAAGAAAAAAAAATAGGAAAAAAATAGATCAGGTTTTACCAAGAAACAGAAGGGAAACAATAGCAATACAAAGAATACGATTTTCCCAGGACATGAATGTGGTGAAGGACATCAGAAGAAAAGCTTGGAGAAACACACACACACATCACCCATTTTTCCCTGCATGTAAACTATTAAATGAATTCATCAGGAAAGGAAAACAAATTGTTAAACCTTTACCTAGTGTGATTAAGATGGGTACAAATAGAGTGTTCTACTATATTCCCATATACACAGTATGGCATAAAAATACTCCAGTTTCAGCTTTATCTAATTATTTCATTACCACAGTTTTGTAGCTGTAAAACAGAAACTTTCATTCCAATCCAGATACAATCACTGAGCAATTATATGAAATTGGGCAAATCATTTGCCAACTTTATCTCAGTTTTTCCATTTGTAAAATAGGAAAAATACAGTTTCCTGTCCATGGTAGTTTAGGGACATAAATCAGTTCATACTTCTACAGTTTGAAAATGTCAAAAGTTATGGATTAGATTTTGAATGGAATATGTTTGCCTTGGAGCCAGCCATAATTGCATTGTGGATTACATACATTGTTTTCCTATTCATCCAGCTCTCTCCCAGATATGAACACTACAGTGGAGCTGAGTGATAGAGGAGCTTACATTGCTTTCTTTCCAGGGGTTGGTCAAATTTCCACTTCAGTGTGTTCCCCAAAAGCCAATTTCACTTGACCCGATTTCTTCTGAGTTTCTAATGCTGTGCAGCTCTTTTCTCTATCATGCACATACAACTTACCTACAACTTTGGCTGTATTCAAAGCCACAAAGTACACAGCAGCAGCAACAAGTATAACGATAATAGTATGATTGAAAACCTCAAAAGTATGTAGGTGCCTAATTCCCAGTGAGAAGATAAAGGTTGGATTATGGGCATTTTTGAAATTTTTGCCAAGAGCTTGGGGGCTTATCATTTTAAGGTATTTTAATTTATTAAATGCATAGTTCATTCTAGAAAAAGCAGTTGTTAGTTTTGTTTCAGGGTTTAGTTTAAAAATTGACTATTTAAATGTATGTCAAATATGAACATGATCAATAAAATCAAACAGTCCAAATTAACTTTCATATTGTATAATGTAATAATATAATATGACCAGTTTTGCTTTTCACATTTGTCACATGGTTTGATTAAACCAACTAGCTTCTTTTATCTTATGTTACAAGTTTGACAATACTGAAGTTGTAGCTGCGACTTTCCATTTGTGTAGATTTACCAGTCACACAGAACTCAGCACTGGTTACAAAATCTGTGCCAGAACCCGTGTTAGCCCTCTCAGACCTCTGCTGCACTGTTATCAAGCCCCAAGCTAGCTTGATTAGAATGATCTCAAGTATGTCTAATACAATAGTTCTCAGCTTTTTCAGATTCAAGGCATCCCTTATTGGACTTAAGCCATCCCCTCATTAGACTCAATGTACCCGTAATAAAATGTCATGTCTTAGCTTTCATCTGTTTTTGACTATGGAAAAATAATAAAGCAATTCTTCCACTGCAAAGAGCTCATAAAGACTATAAAAGATCAGAATGTTTTTGATACTTTCAATTCCAATTTGAAATCTCTGGGATTATCTTGTGAATTATGTAGGTATTTGAAATGCAAAAATCTAGAACTCTTGGTTCCAAAATGGTACCTTTTATTAGACCAACTAATACATTATAAAAAAAAAAACCATCTTTTTCTGCAAGCGTTTGGGCTCATGTGCCCTTCATCAGGCTTAGGGAAAGTTCAAGATGGTAAAAAGTCCCCATATGTAGGAAATAAACTTCATTTTTGCACAGAGGAAGCAGAAGCTGGAAAACTGTCCCTCTGGGTTTATGAGAGTCTCTTTGTGAGCTTGGTCTTTGTTGTGTAGATTAAGCAGGATTTCTTCCCTGGTGGTATCAGATGGCAGGCAGGGACGTGTAGAAATCTTTCTTGTTGTTCAGCAATGAAGCTTTTAATCCAAAAATCATCTAAAATTAAGCATCTTCCATGTTTCAGGGATGTATGTAGTAGCCATGTTGGTCTGAGACAGAAGTAATGCAAAAACCTAGAACTCTTGCTTCCAGATTGATACCTTTTATTAGACCAACTGAGAAATTGCAAAAAAATATATTTCTTTTTCTCCAAGCTTTTGGGCTTATGTGCCCTTCAGCAGGCTCAGGGAAAGTTCAAGATGGTAATAAGTCCCCATATGTAGGAAATAAACTTCATTTTTGCACAGAAGAAGCAGAAGCTATAAAACTGTCCCTATGGGTTCATGAAAGTCACTTTGTGAGCTTGCTCTTTGTTGTGTAGATCAAGCAGGATTTCTTTGCTGGTGGTGTCAGATATTGTTAGAATGTAGGTGTTTGAACATCTAAGAGTGCTAACGCTGTGGGGTACCCTACAGCATGTTTAAAAGGATCTCATAACACCCCACAGGGTGCTATGGAACTCTAGTTGAGAATCAATGATCTAACCTGGGCTGTTACTAAAGTGTAAATACACCGTTAGAACATAAACTTATTGGGGAAGGCACCATTTTTAAATTTTCTGCTGATACACTCTTTAGTATAATAAGGACCTGAAATCTGATTGGAGCCTGAAGAGCTATCACAATAATGATAATATGAAATTATACCAATAATAAGGACCAATAAGACTTATAAGTACGCTAACACATTAAAAACATGTGTTATTG